AAATAGAAATTTTAATTCTTTTAAAGATTTTAATTTGTAAGATAAATATGTAATCATTCTCAAATTAAAAATATAAAAATTTTATTATCTCCATCAACAAAACTTTTCTATGCTGTATTTGCTTTTAATTAAAGAATTAATTTTCAAATTTTGTTTGAATAAAAAAAATATTACTGTAATTTGATCATTGTACTTTCACAGTTTTTACAGACTGTTTATTTAATATATTGTAGGACTATCAAATTAAATAATAAACTGTTCTGTAAAAACTGAAAATATGAGTAAATGATACTGGTACTTTTTAAGTTTAGTTTCAATAAAATTTGTCATGAAGACATGATATACAATAAATTGAAAGTTGGAATAAATTGTCAAACATAATCTAACTGTATGAATACTTTTTGCTACTTTAAGATTAATTTAACGAGTTTACAGTAGAGCGTCGTTTATCCTAATCAATTGGGAACTGGGGTTGTTCGGAAAATCGATATTTCGGATAACCGATTATGTACGAAAAAATATATTAACCTATCCCATGTTGAAATTTTTCTCCATTTCGTGTCGCTTCACGTTGAATTTTTGTCGATGTTAAGCCTAACGTAAACTTTTTAAAATAATAATTGTGACTATTGTATCGCTAAAAAAATAAATATATTGAAAAATATAAAAACAATAAAAAAATTATACTTCAGAAGTTAATTTAGTATCAAAAACGTAAAATATTTGAGTAGCCCAAGACGTAGCCAAAGATTGCAGTGCCACAGCACTGGCGAAAATTTAAATTTGCTGACTGGAATTCTTTCGGATAATTAATTTTTGGATAAATGACGCTCTACTGTATTAGCTTGATGTGACCTAAATTTTGGCAAAATTTTTCCAGACTTATCACATCTTGTAGATAAAGTGATGAAAACGGGATCAGAAGTTTATTAAAAGGAGTTTATTAGTCTTAATATAGTCTGAATGTTATTTGAATATTTAATATGTATCTAACATTTGAATTAATTTTAAAATGTTTACATATTTTTAAAAATGCATAAAGAAAAAAATGTCTGAATATGTATGTGTAATAATAATAGAATTGGAATTTTTTTCTGAATATAATGATAATAGTCAAATTCATTTATATATGATATTATTGGTTGACTAAGAACAGTACAGTATTTGTAATGTAGGTAATTGTAATTGGCAAAATTCCAAAGTTGTCAACTATTACAGTATATGATTAGAAAATCCAATTCTATACTGTTTAGATGTATGTTATAAGAGATTTAAGCATTAGATGAATTTAATTACTTTTAAACTATATTGATGCCATAAGTAAGAATTTTTACTTATGGCATCAATATAGTTTAAGACTAATTAAATTCATCAATATAGAATGTAATTAAATTAAGAATACTCATTAAAAAGATTATTTTTGCCATTAACTATTGAAAGTGTAATGAGAAATTAAATCCGTATAGTACTATTTGTGGTAAATGTATTTTTCTTAAATATGACAAAATCTCTGTAGAAATGATAGTCATATATAAGATATCCTTAATGATTTTGTATTTATAATTATAAAAATAATCATTCCACTTTGTTTTAAATACAGTTTAAATTTACTAACAAGAAATGCTTGTTATTAATCATTTGAAAATTATGTAGTAAATCAATTTTTAGTAATTATTTTGTAACAAAGAAAAATTATATGTAAAAGAACAAGAAAAAAAACTAGTTTATTGAGAGAGATTTTTTTGGATTTTTCCGGGCCATTGTCATTTAATTTAAACAAAAAAAAAGTGGAAAAAATGTTTTTTGTTACAAAATAGGATAAAAATATCTGCTTTATCTTATAAACATATCTTAAATGAATTTAATTTTGATAGTTCAATTTTTTAAGATCACTTGCTGCCAGAATATTACAATACTATTATTAACAACTTTATTGTAATAAGGAGACTTTGCTACAGGGGGTTAGGAAGATCAATTGTAATAGTATTGAATTTACAATGTTTGATAATATAGTCAAATGGTTCCGTGTAAAAAAAAATGTAATGATAGCAATCAACAGAAAGTTATTATATATAGATTTTATATCTTCATCCATAATACAACATATATTTAGTAAATGATTAAAATAATTTATTACTTCTTTATGATTAGAATCTTTAAAAGATTTTGAATAATCATAAATTATTAATTATATTGTTAAGTGAGTCAATCTTAAATTGCATTAATTCTTTGTCAATCTGGAGTTTAAATATTTCTTGATTGATTTTTTCATTTCTTTTGTTAACTATTGAAGTTATTTTTTAAATTCAGTAATTTCATTATGAGTTCCACTAATTTCCTTTTGAATATATTCAGATTGATGATCTAATATTTCATTACTGACGGTAATTAAATCAACTACTTTTGACCATAAAGCTGTAGTTGCGGTGTTCAAGGTTTCAGTATTTTGATTTTCTAACGGAGAATTTGAAATAAATTTCTCACCTTGTGAAGTAGGAGAATCAATTTTTCTTGGTTCTGTATAGGTAGTAATCAATTTTTTTTCTCCATCCGAAGGTTTAACATTATTGACTTGTTGATTAGAATGGTATATGGGAGGTCTACCTCTCTTCGTAGGAGTCTTCTGTAATGGACCTGGATTCTGTTCTATTCCGGCTATTATTAACAACAGTAGAATCATCTTGAGGTTATTCATCTTAGTGTAAATGGATAAATATATACTTAAATTGAAATAGTATTCAATTTGAATAGAGTGAGGGAAAAAGTCACCAGTCACTTCGACGCTCGGAGTGCCCCCACTTGTTGCCAGAATATCATGGAAGACTTTTTCAAGGAAAAATGTTTGAGATAATATAGTTGGTCATTTCATTGATTCATAATCTTGATTAAAAAAAAGAATAGTATATGTAAAACAAATATTTTCTTGCATTTTTCTTTTTACTTAATTAAATGCAGATAAACTTTTTAAAAAGGATTTAATGAAAGACATTGAGTATTGTTACTTAACATCTTTTATTAAGTTACTACTAAATGAAATACAGTAATCTTAACAGACAAAAATTTGCCCTATATGAAAAAATTTAAAACCTTTTTTTTTTTTTTTTTCAAATAGAGCATGCTAAATGGTTGGATCAATGAGTCAATCAGTGTAAATTACTCAGTATGCATTATATTATTATTTTATTTATATTTGTACATTATAACTTTTTAACACATCTTGTATATGTTAAATTCATTATTAATATAATATTTTTTTAAAGCACATTCAATTTAATTGACTTCAGCAATTGCAGGTACTCCTTTTCCCAATTAATCCATTAAATTGATCATTTACTGAATGTATTTTTAATTTCTAGAATTAGTATAGATATTCCAAATAACTCAAAATGCTGAAAGTAATGCTTTTTCTATATTTTTAAATCTTTTGTTTAAACTCTGTTTTGATATGATCTAATGTTTAATGTATTAAAATAAATTCTGTCCATGATATGACTGTAAAGTTTATTTCAACAATCTAGTTCAGGGGTGAACCTATGGCAAGCATGCCCAAATTGGCACGTAAGGAGAAATCATCTGTCATGCAACATACAAGATTTTGAATTATCTACACATCTTTACCACAACACCGGAGAATAGTAATATAACTCTTTCTAACCTGTTACCGGTGCATCTACTAACTCTTAACGATCCAAAAACGACCAAAACTAACGTTTTTGAACCCCTATAACAGTTCTTCTTCAGGCTTTTTTCGAATCTCTGATGGAAAATGCAGCTCGTAAAAACTTTAAATTCAAAATATGTAAGTTCAAATGCACGTTTCCTGTTTCCGTCGTTGTATGTCATGCGCAGTCGACTCCAAAACGGGCTATCATAAATTACCATTCATAAACGCTAGCCACGCTGTTGATAACATAATCTCTTCTTTATAATTGATGCATTGATTATCCTTAAGGTTAGCTAAGTATATGCTGGCCGCCTCTAGCCATCTGATATGGTGTACGTGCCGTGCGGATAATTCTTGCTTTCTTAAATTCGGGGTCTATATCTGGATCGGAGGCATATACTGCTAGAGCCGTCGTGTTCCTTTGTTTCTGAATGTTTGTATTGTGAATTAAACCTTTTGCTGGACCTGATCAAGGTTGTAAAGTGTTATATTTTGTTCATCCTAGCTTTAGCCATACATATGCAAAATATAGTATGCAATATATTAACAAATGTAGGCCTATATAATAAATTGTACAGTACATCAAATCATTAGTCACAAATTGGAACAAGTAAATAGAGCAAAACCTTGCTTTAAAGCAGTAACAGAGCACTGCATCATTTCCATTGCTTAGATTAAGTCTCTACTGTCAATGACATTATACCATAAATTTCTTTCATATATTTATGTGGCTTTGGCTGTATGGTAATTCTCTTTTTCCTACAGACCCTAGAAATTCTGAATCATTTGAAAAAAATTAGGATAGTTCTTTCTTTCTAGGACACTTAAAGATTGTATTGTTATTAAATATGTTGCTTTTGGAAGCAACAGATTTAATTACTGATGAGACAGAAATGTATCATTCATCATTTATACAAAAATAAATTAGAAAGTTGTTAACGATAACTTTTTAATTTATTCAAATTCTAAGTTACTGATCTCAATAGTAATGGAGTGAGTGTTATGTTTCATAACTAGAACAATAAGATTGATAAGATTAAAGTAATTTTTGTTTTAATAAATTTAATAGATGATGAATTTTAAGCGTGTGCCATAAACCAAACTATTTACTTTGTGTAATGAATTAGTAATCACATTATAGTCTGAAAAATCTGTCAGTTATGTATTTGTATATTAATATGGGGNTGATTATTAAATTAAATTTTTTATAATATAATTAAATCTATTTTTATAAAATATTTATTGTAGGGCTGTTATTATTTAAGAATTGTGTAATATAGACATTTTATATTGTGCATTGTAATCAAAATTTACTTTGTATTTTTTTTCTTTGTAGATGATAGGATGTTCATGACTCGACTACATGATGAATGAATTAAGACAAATGTGTGTCAGTGAAAGAAACCATGTCAAATGCAAGATTTATTCTCCAAGTCCATGTTGGTACTTTCAGCACATTTTACGAAGCTCTATCAATAGAAGCAAGCAAACAGACAATATCAGATGAAATAGTTTCATGTGTTGTAGAAAAATTAGGTCTTAAATACCCTCAGAATTATGAATTGGCAGAAGTGGTGTATGATGCCAATGGACAGGACTGCAAAGAAAGGAGACTGGGAGGTACTGAATCTCCTGTTGCATTACAATTATTATGGCCTCGACCCACCTCTCTTGTTGAATGTGATAGGGAGTTTCAAGCTCCCCAATATCGTTTCTGCTTACGCCAGAAATTTAGTGACAGTGCTCGTCATGGTTTGTTATGGCCAGATAGCACTGATCATAAGTTAATTCAAGAATATTTTTTAAGATTCTTGTATCAGCCAAGGGATAAGGAATATACAGATCTGTGCCAGCTTCCAAATTTAACAGAACAAACTTTACTAGAAAATTTGAAAGTTAGATTTGAAAAGGGTCATATATACACTTATGTTGGCTCTATACTAATAGCTGTAAATCCATTTAGGTTTTATCCTATATATAATCCAAAATATGTAAAACTTTATCAAAATCATCAACTAGGTGATCTACCACCTCATATATTTGCTATAGCAGATGCAGGCTATCAGTTAATGCTCCGGCAGCGAAAAAATCAATGTATTGTTATATCAGGAGAAAGTGGATCTGGAAAAACAGAAAGTACACATTTATTATTACATCATTTAACTGCTCTTAGTCAAAAAGGCACTCATGGAAGTGGAGTGGAACAAACTATTCTAAGTGCAAGTCCCGTTTTAGAGGTAAGAATTTTTCTTGTTGCTTTAAAAAAGTTGTATTATTTCAATGATTAAAATATCTTATTTTTACAAGTTTAATAGTTTTTATTTTATAAGTTCAAGATTAGTTATATTATTAGGATTGGCTCTGTACAGAAGTTTTATTGAGATTTAGTATGTTATATAGCTGAATTTATTATTATAGAAAAATTAGCTCAAAAATTTTATGAATATCATATACAGCAGTGATGCAACCTTTTCTGGATGAGGACTGCTGTGCAACAACTTTCAAAAATTTGAACTGTACCATTGTACTAAACTTAACTGAAACAAGTCTGTTTATTATATTTTTTTAAGGTATACTTCTTTTGTATTAGAATCTTCTTTTCTTAAACATAAATAATTTTTCACCTTTAGGTAAAATTGCAGTTTTATCTAAATAATGAAATCATATTATAATGGAAATTTTTTATTGTTGTTGGTAAAATAAGTGTTTAAATAGTAAACTGTATCAATCCTTTAATTATTAATATTAAAAATTAGTATAGTGTTGTTAGTTTTTATCAAATATAATGAGCTTTATGTTTAGTCGGATTTTATATTTTATAATTCAATGTTGTTAAAAAACATTTTGTTTTGTTTATATTTAAAATATAAAATGTTTATTTTCAAAGTGTTTAATATTTCTTAATGTTAAATTTATTAAGTTTTTGTCTCCAAGACAATTAAAAATTGGACCATCTATAAATATGTAACCTGTAATGACTTAATTTATCTAAATAATTGTCTATATGACAATGGTCTACTTAAATGGATATTGTTTAAATATTTGGCACTTAGATAATTAGTGTTTTTTATTATACTTAATTTATAAGTGTACTTTTAAATTATCTTAAAACATTTTACTTTGAACTTGTTCTTTTGTTTTAGTTACTCAGTCAACATGTTTTAAAATAACTTACCTTTTGTAATACTGTGTAATAATTTTGTAAACCATTTTGATATGTGATATTAGAAAAGTTTTGTTTCCCTGCCATTGTTAAAACAAATAATTGTTTTTATAGAATCATCATTTTTAATGCCATCTACTAAATCAATCAATTTTTATTTTATACCAATTAAATATATTATTAATAATTACTAACAGTGCTCAATAAACTATGCAATTATGACTTTGTTAATTGTAAAAGTATTTTTATATGAATATCGAATCTTTGGTAAAAGAAGTATTTTAAAATATTCTGCTTTTCTTTTACATCAAATAAAGGCAATATAATACTTCTCAAAAAATCTCTTAATTTCAGTTTTCTGTAATAATTTTTAATTAATGTTCATGTTTAGCTTTTCACTTTCCAAAATGTTGAATTCACTTAATGAAAATTTTAAAAATAAAATTAAACTATAAAATCAACAACTAATCTTTGTAATAATGACATTATTACAATACTTAGTATTATAATTATAAGCATTAAATATTGACATTATTTATAATGCTTAAGTTTCTTCTCTCATTCATTTTAAACCATTTTGTTTAAAACATCTGTTTTACATTCATACTGATGCTCTATATTACTTGAAAGATGAGTACTGTGTATACAGTATATTTTTATTATATACCATATGGAAAGATTTTTCTGAGTTGGAAACAACTGCATAAAATATCATTTTCATAAATATTATAATGTGTGTGTGTGTGTTTTATTTTTTTTTATCATTACTATCAGGGTTTAAATAGTAAAAAATTCTCTATTTAATTCAATAATTTCAGTTAAAAAATTAATTCCGATATAGATTACATGATAAGTCTACAAAAACACTGAATAGTTTAACAAATTAGTCTTAGTTTTTTTATAATCAACATTAATTCTCCAATGACATACAATCTTAAAAGATATCATACATCTGTTTACAAGGATATGGATAACTGGTTAATGTATTTAGCATGAGTCTGAAAGAAATTTAGTTTCATCTGACTCAAATGTGTGCTTTCATTTTTTTTTTCTGTTAAGAAAAATAGCTCTTTTGACAATTTCTTATATACCATATTTACTTGCATATAAAATGAGGTTTTTATTCATTTATCACAGCTTCAAATTCCTAGGTTGTACTATAGGCACAAGCAAAAATTCTTTGCGTTTTTGCAAATAATTTTTGTGAACCGTGTATTCACATTTTTTACCAGATGCTTGCCCTCTTGTGTTTAAAAACATAAGTATTTTATCTGGGTTGTTGAATCATTCTTGAGTAAAGATGAATAGCAATAGGAAAAGCAAAGCTTTTGAATTGAATTCCAGATTGAAATTCCAAAATCACACAGTAGCCCGATATAAGTTTTAACTTATTCCCGGATGATTACTCAGATGATTATTCAGAAATCAGATGATTATTCAGAAAACAGATGATTATTCAGAAATCAGAATTCAGAGAAACTCATAAGTGTAATCGATGGAGAGTGGATTTGACTGTTAAGAATTGGCAAAAAAGGATGATCCTGATTGTCCAGCTTTACATGAACAAATTATGTTGTAGATTTTACAAGATTTTTCCTTCAAGTTTAAAATGCCAGTAATTTTTGCAGGACAACGTGTGCATTTACGTTCATTTGATATTTTACTTGTGATTAAATGAAATAGAATTAGGATTGTATTAATAAATCTAATTTTCTTTATTTTGATCTTTAAAATCACACCTTGTCCTATATGCGAGATTATCTTATATACGAGTAAATACGGTACGTATGTATGAAAAATAACTTTATAAGAGTAAATAATAAAATAAGTACAACCTTTTTAAAGTCAAAGCTAAAATAAGATAATTAACAAACAGTAGCTTCTGATAATTCAAAAATATAGTTAGTTTAGATACAATTTTCTTAACTAGTATATCAAATATTATAGTGTTATAGCACTCTATAGTAAAGCAAATTACCTTCTTAATAACTAGAATGAATTACAAAGCACAATCAACAAAACTTTTAACATCCAGTAACGAAAATTTAATGTAAAAGTTGACAAACGTTTTCAATCTTAAACAAGATCTGCATCAAGTCAACATTCTATTCCAAATTGGAATGCTCAAAACACAAATTTTAAAAAATTTAAACATTTTGAATAATTAGAACATAAAATATAACAATATAACATCAAACATATAAATATACAAAATCTGTGGTATTTTTAAGATTTATAAAATTAAATCTGATTTAAATATAATGCATAACATATTACAAAATGATGATAATTAATTTATGCTGTTATTTTCTAGCTTTTCATATAGGCATTGCCAATCATAAGAGATGATTTTTCTATCTTTAAAATTAATTTAATTGCCATTCAGGCTGGCCTTGTGTATTTCTAATGTTTCTAGAGTCCTGATGTGGTCATAAAAATACCATCAATTTTCTATATGTGTTTGATGTTACGCCATTATATTTTACATTCTTATTATTTAGAAACATGTTTAAATTTTTGAAAACTTGTGTTCTGAGTATTCTAATTAGGAATAGAATGTTGACCTGATACAAATCTTGTTTAAGATCGAAAATGTTCGTCAACTTTTACATTTAATTTTTTTTTACTAGATAGTAAAGTTCTGCCATTTGTGTTAATGTTAATGTGCCAATTTTAACCTTTAATATCTCCATGACCAACAAATCAACTTGGATAAAATTTAAAATATTTGGTGTTGTGATGAGTACTATAATTGTCTTAAATTTTGAATAAATGTATTGGACCATTTTGGAGTTATGTGATCTTATTTTGTCACCTAGATTTATAAGAAAGAATAGCAATACTAAGCTAATGAACAATCTAAGAAGTCTGCATATATTGAATACAGTGGTACCTTGATATACGTCTGCTTTAGAATACGTCAGATTTGGAATACGTCCTGTTTGGACGAAACAAATTTTGCTCGGTATACAACTTTTGTTTGGTATATGACTTAATTCAATTATATGTACCATCTATGAACAAGTAGCACTATTGGTGTACTAGACCAGACTAGACATTTGCAGTGCCACAGTTTATAACTTTCTTATATTTCTTCTGATTATAATTTGTAAGTAAAATTTAATTTTCTATTAATTATGAATTGCAAAAAGGCAAATGAAAAGCAACAGAAAACTAAACAAATGACTAGAATCACAATGTAACTGAAAAAAGAGATTGTTGAGAAATATGAAGGTGGTATGCGTGTTCGAGATTTTAACTGTTGCATGCCGTATTCCGAGAATGATGATATTGACAATCGTGAAAAATAAAGACATTATTAAATCTGCTAACGTTGCGAAAGGGGTTAAATCAATTTCTAAACAGATATCGAAGACATTAGATCATAATAATGTGAATATAATAATAATGTGAATCATAATAATGATCATAAAAAATGTTATACTCTGTTTGTTGGGTTATCTAATTCTGTCTAACATTAGATCATGTTGAGAAATTGCTTTTGCTTTGGATAACTGAAAAACAGTGTGCTAGAGACAGCATATCAGAAGCAATTATTTGCTAGAAAGCTAAAAAGATGCATGTTGATCTCGTGAAAAAACAAGCAGGAACTAGCCAGGAAAACGAGGTGTTTAAAGCCAACCATATTTTTTTTTACATGAGAACGGATTAATCATTTTTACATTACTTCTTATGGGAAAGGTTGATTTGGTATACGTCCTATTCACTATAAGTCCAAACATTAGGTACGGATTAAGGTCATATACCGAGGTTCCACTGTAGCTCATTTGAGAGCTGACTACCTCCTGTTTGTCCTTTTGAAAGTTTTAAAAAAAATGGGCTATTATTTTATAAATATCCATTTTTTAAATTTTAACATATTATTTTTCTCTCGGCTATCATGACATGATGTAGTGCAGGCTATTTTGTGACTGTCACATGAAAATAGAATTATCATGTGATCTCAGATAATTATCACGTGATTTCACATCTAGCAATTAATTACTTTTGATCTATTAATTAATACAAACCTAATGATTNATTATTTTTCTCTCGGCTATCATGACATGATGTAGTGCAGGCTATTTTGTGACTGTCACATGAAAATAGAATTATCATGTGATCTCAGATAATTATCACGTGATTTCACATCTAGCAATTAATTACTTTTGATCTATTAATTAATACAAACCTAATGATTTTAAAAATAGAGTATAAAATAATATACTATTTTTTAAATTTAGGCATATTATTGATAAACATTTATCATATAGCATGACTTACAGCATTGCAAGCTATTGTATGACTGTCAGATGAATATAGAATTATCATGAAGACTTCTCTATTATGAAGTTATTGATGACTGAAAAATTGAAATCTCATAAACTGGTGGAACCAGGTTAAAGAGTAAAGTTCTTTTATTTAGATGTTTTCAGTGAACTTTTGAAAGTTGTAGCATAAGAATATTGGAAGCAGATTTGACATTAAGACTCAACATGTGAATAAAGTGCATATTACACAGACTATAACTAAAGGAAGTTTTGAATGAAACATAATCACTGTGATGATAAATTAGGAAAACAAGAATCATTACAGAAAAAGCTTCAAGCTTTAATTTGTGCCCTAAAGTTGTTGCACCTACAATAATTTGACTGAACATTAGAGCACCTTTGTGCAGTATATGTGAAGGAACTTTACTATTGCAATATATCAGATGGCAGCATGACATCCACTGTCAAAATGGTGACTATGCAGTAAAATTAAATTTTGATGACTTTTGTCCTCCAGCAGATGGGACTCCACCTCATTGGCACACTGAGGTGCATCAACATCTTAATATGGAACTCCCACTGCTGGATTGGACATTTCAGTAATGAAAAATTAGTGCTATACAGATGGCTTCTCAGATTGCCAGATGTGGGTAATGTTGGCACACAAAATGTAACCTTTACATACCCCTAAGGGGGTAATTACATCATGTGATTCCCCCTTAGGTTATGTAAAGGTTATATTTCGTGTGCCAACATTACCCACATCATATTACTACTGTGATGATGACCATCCAGGGAGACATTTTATAACTTATGGAGCAAACTGGACTGCAAATGTGTTATTAAAGAATATATATAGAAAATATAAAGTCCTAGAAATCTTTGATTTGTGTTTGGACAATTTGTAGTTTTTTAATGTATTTATTATTCAAGGTTAATTTTGAATTATTGTTAGTAAATACAGTTGCTTTGAAATCCAATGGTTCATTTATAATAACCCTGTATTCTAAACATTATGGAAAAAATTTTTGAGACTTTGGGAAAATTTGAAAGTGTTTAGTGTAAATTGGCATAAAATGAGGGCAGACTGTATTCAAGATATTATTTTTGTGTAAAGAATCAGTTACGTCGATATTGATATATAAAATACATTATTATAAATGTTTTAATTTTTATAGTTGTAATTTTGTTTTTATTTATGTATTTATGCTGAAACTTCGTTAGTATTTGCCACAGAATTAAACAAATTTATGTAAGCTGAAGCTAAAATGTAGCTAAAAAGGTGGAAGACAGTCTTTATGGCTTTCTGCCATAAAGACTGATAGAGAAGGACAAAGTATGAAGACATTTATTGTTTCTTCCAGTTTTGTGAATATATTTTATATTTCATTGTTGTCCTGGCCATTTTATTTATTAAAATTAGAATGCCAAATGTTTATTTTATCAAATCAAATTTTGAGGATTGCATTATTTAGATAATTTCATTTTTTTTATAAATATCTTATACATTAATTATTCTGATGTAGTTAACCAATACAGTAAAACTTATATTTATAGAAATGAAAGTTTTTAAATTAATGTTAGTCTGTTTATACTAATAATATATAGTCTTCACACTCATAATAAATTTATTGAAATAGTTAGAACAAAGGTATATTTTGTGTTTATAATAGAAGACAAATTTTAATGTTTCAGGAACCTTAATTGAATTTAGTAATTAATTAATTTATGGTAATGGAAAAAATGTGTGTTGATTAATTTGGTTTTTTTATTTTTTAAGGCATTTGGAAATGCTAAAACTAAGCATAATAACAACTCAAGTCGATTTGGAAAATTTATTCAAGTTAATTATAAAGAAAATGGCCAAGTTCATGGGTATTTATAATTTTATATTATTATTGTGACATTTACAAATTTTATAGTTTGTTTTACTAAAACATTTTATATGTTAATATAAATAATATAGTAAACCAAGCCTGAATTATCGGCTATATCTGAATAAAAGACACCATTAACAAATCAGTTCGTAATCACGTAATTACGTAATCATGTTGTAATTTGTAAAGAAAAGTTACTTTTCATAGATGAGATTTCTTCTCAAGAAATATCGTTGAGTAAAGCAGCTACAGCTAAATCGAAAAGTAGAGGGTAAGGCTATACAGTAGACTCTTCTATAACACTGTAGATATTTCCGTGTTATATGAATTCCATGTTGTACGAGTCACTTAGATTTTACAAATACGTGAGCCGTTCACAGCCCGACACACGTATTTGTAAAATCTAAGTGACCCCTACAGTGTTATAGGGGTCTACTGTACACGCTGTCATTGCAAAAAGAAGTGTTCCACGAATAAATGCAGTTGTAAAAGCGAGGGACTCAAAGTGCCATAACAGTTTAAGTTATTGCAATAAATAAGATTGTACAACGTCAATCACATAATTTATGTGTAAGTTTATTATTGTATTATATTCTTTAATGATTTAGAACGTACTGTTCGTTTTAGGTTCAACAGTTTATTTACATGTGCCGTTACTTAAGCTTTCTCCTATTTTGACATATTAACGTAATAAAAATATTTTTATTGAGCATTCACCATCAGTGCGTGCCGAATGTCGACATTTGCCGGTGTAAGTGAGAAATGATTATATTTAGCAAATATTTCGTACATACACGAAACGACTGTGTGAATGTTGACATTCGCCAGATATCGGTCATTCACAGTAACATATACACAGTTTGAACAAACTTGTAATGCCCTAGAAGAATTTATTTATGTAAGTAACGATAATACAGCGGTATCCGAAGCTAAAAGTCTATTGGATTCAATACAAGAAATGCCATTTATTTTATGTTTAATAGTATGGTTTGCAATGTTGTGTAAAATCAACGCTATCAATATTATTTCAAGCAAAAACAATTATTCTTGAGTCGGCTTTTAATTTAGTCAATAAAATTAAAACTGAAATCCAAAATTTAACACATTTTTAGACGAAGTAAAAGTGCTAGCACGTAATTTGAATATTTCAGAACATTTTCCTGAAAAAGGAAAAGGTTATATTCCGAAATAGCAGATGAAGCTTTAGAAAACCCGGTAGAGGAATTTTAGATGTTATTTTTTTAACACTCTAATTGATACTGTTATTGTACAAATAGAAGATAGATTTAAAAGTATACCAAATATTATTTCTGATTTCAAATTAATCACTGATATGAAAACCTTAGAAAAACATGAATTAGAAAAATGTTCCAAAAACTTTGTAAAGTTTTATAACAAAGATGTAGATGAAAACCTAATCCAGGAAATTGGTTTGCTACGGGATTTGATTTTGAATGAAAGGGATGTAAATAACGCACAAGACATATGCAATACATACTAAATAATAATTATAATGAGTTATTTCTAAATGTATTAACTGTGTTAAAACTTTTCTTTGCGTTGCCAGTTACTATAGCAAGTGCTGAGCGCTCTTTCAGCAAATTAAAATTAATAAAGAATTATCTTCGATCCAGCATGTGTGCAGAACGCTTAATGCATTTGCTATATTAAGCATCGAAAAAGAAATTGCAAAAATTATAATTTTCCTGAAGTAATTCATGTATTAGCAAGAACAAAATCACGCTTTAAATAAACATGCATTAATATATGTTTGTGTTTGTAATTTTTTTTATTTTACAAAAAATGTAGGGCCCAAATAGTTTCTTGCACCTGGGCCCCTTTATAGAGAAGGCCGGCCCTGACCCAATCTCACCTCTTGTGACTTCTGGTTATGAGGTTATTTGAAAATGTGAGTTTAAGTGGGGTTTAATTGGTTTATACAAGTGGAGTTGCATATTTATTAGAACTAGAGACAAATTGAAAGGGAAGTGAATATCATTAGTTGTGACATGTTACACTTGACTGTATTAATATAACTCAATTACAATATATGACTGATAGTAATGAAAAGAATATTGAACAGTTTCTTTGATGTTGCCATGACTGGTACTCATATAGAACCCCTAAGGCAAAAATTGCAACTATTTTTGAAACTGACTATAGTTTTCTCATTATGTTATGGACTAAGTGATTAATATGGACATTATAAACAATGTCCAGTCATTATGAATAATGACAAACAACATTGGGCATTGTAATAAATTTCATGTTCTTTATTGTTATTTGTCACATTGACTGGTCAATATGAATACTGTTAACATCTGTCAGGCAAAGTGATGATAATGATACTTCGAAGAGTGATCATTCAACAAAATATTAAATTTTTTTTACACCATATACCAGTTGATTTTTATNTAAACAATTCCTTGCCATTATGATAATGACAACTAAAATCAGGTATTGTAATAAATTTTATGTTTTTTATCATAATTTATCACATTTACTAGTCAATATGAATACTGTTATCATCTATTGAGCAAAGTGATGATAATGATACTTTGAGGAATGATCATCCAACAAAATATTAAATTTTTTTTAATAAAAGTCTGTAACAAGAAAACTATTTTAAAAAATGTTCTAAAATAGAATCTCTAATGTTCTGTAAAGTTTGACGCTTGATGCAGGCCTTAAAAGAGGTCGAAAATGCTCAGTTTTATATTTAATTCAAATACATATTATTTGCTAGAAGATTGTATGTGTGGTATGTAGATATTAAATTTTTTAACACCATATACCAAAATGACATTCCAAAAGTTTCCTTTAAGTTGATGATTTTTATGACAAAATTATATCATTTTGTTAATAATTAAATTAATGTTAACAAAAAGTATTAATACAGTTAATAATACTTACTTTTAAAAAATTTTTCAGTTTGTGAATTTTCACAAATTATTTTGTTGAATGCTATGTGCAAAGTAATTGCCAAAGTTAATAAATAGAATCATTAAAATAAATTATATAGTGTGTGTTGATTAATTAATAAAGAGTTTAATGTAATAAATATACCTATATTAATATAAACCACATAATATGAGCAAGATTTTTCTTAAAATACTTTAAAATAATTCACAAAAATAAATAATTTATAATGAAAAAATGGACTTTTTTAAAATCGAATTGCCCAATGGAAATATAGCTTTATGCATAATGTCTGGTCAGTTTAATAAATTAATCAATATTTATCAGGCTGTGCAGCCATTTTAGTCATTATTCATAATGGGCGGGCATTATTAATAATGACCTATTCACTTGGCCCATATATATATTAATTACTGACAGCCAACAAGATGGAATTAGTTTTTAAAATTTGAATTATTTATAAAACTTAATTTATTCTATATATATTATTATTTTCATTATTAATTAATTTTTATATACAGTTTTAATTATAATTATTTTTACATTAATTCATATAAAACTTTCATGTATTCGTTTTTTATATACTATTAATTTAATAAATTAATGTTTTACAATTTAACAAGTAGATATTTTATAAATTTGTATATATGTTACTGCTAAAGCTCGAAATCCGTTAATGTGCGCATTACCTAGCTAATCTGCAGATTAACTAGGGTGATCCATTAAAGCTGCAAAAATTATTCCATTTCTCAAATTACCTAGGTAATGTTCAGATTATCTAGGTAATCTGCAAATTACCTACCAGGCACTCGGTAAAGTGAAAATAAGATTTTTGCTGGAACAACAGCGTTTCTGTATGCTTAAATTAACATAATGTTATTTGTTTAATTTTCAATATCTAAAGAATCAATTTAATACAATCAAACAATCAACAAATTAGTTGATTGAATCAATCATCAATCAATTAAAAAAACTTTAATACAAAAATCAAACGGTTTAAAATATTACTACAATTAGGGAAATGAATTTGCAAAACATATGATAAAATTGTACTTACTTATTAGTGCAATCTAAAGATTGGTGACACTTTGAATTACGTAGCAATTGGTTTTTGCGACAAGCACGCCTATTTGTGGTACATTTAGATTTGCAGTCACATTTTCTGAAACCCTGCCCAGTACCAAGGGATTGTTTTATTGCTGTTTGACGTAAAGATATTTCTACAGCAGGGACATCCATCTTCTTTCGTTAAAAATCTCTCTTTGCAAACACTGAATTCAGATTTTGCATACAATTGTTTTAAAATACCTGTTTTAGTATCAAGTTTATAAAAGCCATCCTCTGTTTTACTAAGAACCACAGCTAAAATTGAACGTGCATCAGTTTTTGCTCTGTCTTCTTCGGGTACTTTAATTCTCACAGCGAAACCTTCATCGACGTTTGGGTGCTTTGCATTAGAAACTGCTAACATTTTCTTTGCTTGCTTTTCTAAACATTTCTTGGCTTCATCACGCTGTATTTTCTGATCCATATTCTTTTTACAGATGATGCACAATACATTCTTACCATACCCTTCCTCTTTAGGATCTACTTCACCACAAACTGCGTGAACAAACATATTACACGATTTACACTTGTGAGCACTTGATGCTGCTTTTGAGCAAACAATACAGACTATGTCTTGTATAGTGCTCTTTACAGGCTCCGTACGAAACTGTGATGGCGATTCTGCTGAAGTTGAGAGTAACTCAGTGATGACTTCTTCAACTTGCAGAGGCGATTCCTTGGAGGTGCAGGGTAACTGAATATTCTTCGTGACTGCATCATCAATCAACGGTATAGAAGGCAGTTTAAGATTACTATCGGTAAATTCTTGTATTTCTATAGGTGATTCTGTAGAAGCGGGGGATAACGGAATGTCCTCTTGAGTAAGATTTGACTGTGATCTCATAATCACAGTCTCTTGTGAATCTTCTAATTTTTCAAGGTCTTCTTCAGTTTTTATCGAATGTCAAACAATTCTCCGGCATGGACAAACTTTTTCAAACCTTTCTCGCGCATCTGACAACGGCTCAATGA